CAGTAGTGTTAATGTATTTATCGGTTTAGGAAATGTAAAGCACACTGGTAATGGAGGAATGCCTAGTCAGGCTGTGCGTGTGCAAGACTGCTGCGACCCTGGTAGTTCTGCCACTAACTCAGAAATACATTGTACAGCATTGCAGAATGTGAAAAAACACAAGGGGGCGCCTTTCCTGGTGCAGGTCAATTTTATTTCAGTAAACATAAGATAGAAGCAAAGACATACTCACAAACATGAGATGGATAATAAGCTGACAGGCAGTGAGCATCCACTGAACGATTCCTGTGTGCTGATGACGTTAACGCGTTTCCGGGGCACGCCCCCTTCGTCAGAACGTTCTGACTTAGAAGGGCTAGACTCTTCCTTAATGTGTGCTGATGTGTGCTGATGACGTTAACGCGTTTCCGGGGCACGCCCCCTTCGTCAGAACGTTCTGACGAAGGGGCGTGCCCCGGAAACGCGTTAACGTCATCAGCACACATCAGCACACATTAAGGAAGAGTCTAGCCCTTCTAAGTCAGAACGTTCTGACGAAGGGGGCGTGCCCCGGAAACGCGTTAACGTCATCAGCACACAGGAATCGTTCAGTGGATGCTCACTGCCTGTCAGCTTATTATCCATCTCATGTTTGTGAGTATGTCTTTGCTTCTATCTTATGTTTACTGACATAAAATTGACCTGCACCAGGAAAGGCGCCCCCTTGTGTTTTTTCATAGATCTACAGCTTTCCCGGCTTTCTTTGGGGCAGCATCCTGCAGTATGCCTAAGAGGAATTCTCATTGAGAAGTGACAGTTTGTGGCGCTTTATTGTTTTTACTTAGCATTGCAGAATGGCATTGGCTATAGAGAACTACAATTCCAAGCAATACATTACACAACAATGCAGAATACCATCAGCTATAGAGGACTTTAAATCCCAGCAATAATGACTACCAACAGCTATAGAGAACTACAATTCCCAGCAATACCATTATACAGCAATGCAGAACAGCATCAGCTATAGAGGACTACAAATCCCAGCAATACATATTACAGTGATGCAGAATAATATGAAGCTACATACTCTGTTGCTCTGGGTTCCCCGCCTGATGTCTCCAGGGTCTCAGGTAGGCTGTGCGGGCTCTCACCAGGGGTTCAGAGAGTTTCACGGGTGTGTGTGTGTGTGCAGCAGAGGTGGCTCCCTAATTAGGCTCTCGGGTGGCCAATGCGGACTGTCAGGTGGTCAGTACGGGCTCTCTGCTGGTCAGTGTGGGATCTGTGGTGGCCTGGTGGTTAGTTGGGGATCCCTAGTGGTTAGTAGGGGATCCCTGGTGTAGGGTGACCATTCATCTAGAGCTGCAGCTAACGATTATTTTCAAAATCGATTAGTTAACTGATTATTAAGTTCAATTAACTGGTTAATCTGGATAACAACAAATGGCTCCAGGGATGGACTACTAGTTTGTATTGAGATTGTAGTCCATCACAGGAGCAAGCTTGGAGCGGTGGAAATAAGAAAAAAAAAGTGTGGTGTGCAGTATACAGCAATCAATGCAGAATGGCACCGGCTATAGAGGACTACAAATCCCAGCAATAGTAGGTTATACAGCGCAATGCAGAATATCATCAGCTATAGAGGACTACAAATCCCAGCAATAGTACATAATAGCTGGCGGTATTCTGCATTACGCTGTATAATGTATTGCTGGGTTTTGTTGTACTCCTCTGTAGCTGTTGGAATTCCGCATTGCACTGTATGATGTATTATTGCTGGGATTTGTAGTCCACAGCGCAATGCAGAATACCACCAGCTATATAGGAATACAACAAATCCCAGCAATACATTATACATACAGCGTATAATGTATTGCTGGGATTTGTAGTCCTCTATAGATGATGGTATAATATACAGCACAATGTACCATCAGCTATAGAGGAATACAAATCCCAGCAATACATTATAGAGCACCATGTGTGGGCAAGTGCAGGCTTACCTGAGCAGTCTTTCAGCAACTTGCTTATTAGATCGGTCCTGTTTGTCAGCGGCGGTCATCCCCTCGCGCCTGCTCCACCTTACTTCTTCTCCCCGCGTCCCTGTGCCGATCGTGGATGTGGGCGGTGCGCGTGAGGCGGGGAGGAGGTGCGGCATGTGGATGCCGGCTGGCGGGCCTTGCAGCAACAGCAAGGGTGAGGCAGGGAGGAGGTGTGTTATGGAAGGGGTCTGTCAACCATTTCAGATTGCACTCAGGCTATAGTGTTGGATTTTTCCACGGTAAAGAACACTCACAATACCATAGTAAAATAGCATCTTATATATCATAGTCCCTTCTGATTCACGTTGAAACACTTAAAAAAGAATGATATGTGGTTGCAGCCAAACACATTTTTTTTTAGAGAAGCAAATACTTGTCAGCTTTTTTTTCTTTCCATTGCGGATATTTTCTTTTACTTCCTGTCTCAAAGATACAACAAGAATTTCAAGAATATGTATCCAAAGTGAGGGGAAGTTACCTCTTAAACAGCTGTCATCAGAACAGGTGTCCCCACTTAACTCCTGTACTTGTGGCAATGGTCCTGATGGCAATAGCCACCGGAGCAAAAACAGAGGATGGATCTACTCAGTGGGGACAATGGCAGCAATAAAAAAGCTGCCAGGGGCTGTAACTGTTCACCGCTCAAGCTAAAAAGAAAACATAAGCAAGAGAAACACTTTAAATGATAAGTTGGTTGTGATATCTTGTATAGAAGCCCTTCTTTTTTGGTCATAATGGAGCTTTAATGTTTTTAAGTCATTTCAGTCACATTTAACCAGTTTTTGAACACAGAAACAGTCAAACGAATCAAGGTACTCTACTGTTGACACGTTCAATTATGTTACAGCATCAGTTGAAACTGTTGATTGCATTGATACATTTGATGATTTTTGCAAGTGTAAACTGTTTGAAATGACCTTAGAATTGTTGTGTGTATGTGCAGCAAAAGGGAGTGCTGTTTTTCCTTTTAAGATGACTGTAGTTACTACAAATTGGCAAGGTTTTAGTTGTCTACTTTTAATTTAGTATTAGTCTTCTGTAAAAGTAGAATTGTTAGCTAAAACCAAAGTGTTGAAAGAACACTTAATAAAATGATTAAAGGTGGCAAATTTTTATTTTTTAGTCTCTTGAACATGCTGTGACACATTTTCTTGACAGGTGTTGTGCAAATGTTTGGCTGAACTACCAATAGACACATGCAAATTAAAGTGTATACCTAAAACTTTTTTCTTAGTTTTGGATAGAGTGGGGGACATTTATAACCCCTGTCAGGTTTTACTGCTATCTATGGCTCCCTTATAGAGATTTCCCCTCACCTCCTCTTCTGGAGACAACCTTTTACCAGACAAGAAAATGAGAGAAAATCTGCTGCAGGCAACACATAGCTGACAGAAGTTTTAGTATTGCCCTACTTAACTTAAAAATGAATTTATGTTTCTGTCGGTGTTACCATTGGATAGTTTATTTTACTTCCTGTCTGGTGAAAAGGTTTTTCCCAGGACAGTAAGTGGAATTTCTCTAAGAGTCCTGGACAACAGTAAAACTCAACAAGGGTTGTATTTCTTCCCTAATCTGTCTAAGACTACAAAACAAAGATTTGGCTATACATACACTTTAAGATGAAGGATTATACACTTTATTCTACTTGAGGAAATAACAAAAAAATAATGTTATAACAAGCCAAGCAAGCATAGTTGGGAGTTAGAAATAATACTAAAACAGTAGTTATTGTTTCAAGTAAACCCGTGCTTCCCATATTAGGCAAAACGACTGATTCACTTTAGATGTTGCACTTTAGGTGGCTGGTACTTACCTTCTCAGAGCTCCTCTGTCTCCTGACCTGATGGCCAGAAAAACAAAACAGCTACCTGTCATGCATTGTCTAAATGACCAAGCACTTGCAGATCAGGGAGATTGGAGAGCACAGAAATTAGTATGTTGTAGCGACTAACAGTGCCTACAGTACAGAAAACATATATATAAATAGACTTTGCGCCCTCCAACTATATAAGCAACAAGGACAAGAACAGGTTCACTTTTCTTTCATTGGCAAATAACATGAATAAATAAAAAAACGGGATAACATTTTGGCTACCACTGCTGATCTACTGTATATTTCTAAGCACATTCGTTTCTTACAATGTTGATCTAATAACATCAATACTTAAGCTGGCCATTCACCTATAGATTATCTGCAGATTTTCTATGGTCAGATGGAAAAAGTGCAACAGATTCCTCCAGCTACACTGAACTGTGTGGATGGAGGATTCTCCCACTTGGCCAAGCTTCAATATTTTGCTAGTCAGCCCCGCTGGCTGTCAAAAAACCTGAACAATCTGATTGGATGCAGGCATTGTTCAGGTATTTTGAGAGCTAGCGAGTTCGACTAGCAAGATACTGAAACTTGGCAACGTGGGATATTCCTCCATCTACACAGTTCAGTGTAGATGGGGAAATCTCCTGCACTTTTCCATCTGACCATAGAAAATCTGCAGATAATCTATAGGTGTATGGTCAGTTTTAGATAGTGATCCCAAACAAGCATGCAATTCAGGAGATCTAACTTCTCTCTGCCTTTACTTGCTGCATGCTTGTCCCTAATTAGTAACTAAGAAGGTATTGAAGTAATTCATATTTTTATAGTAACATATTGTCATATATCAGAATTTTGCATGCTTTTGTTCCGAAAAAACACAGGTGAAAATTGACCTTTTATTATATTAATTTTTGCATCCACAAAGTCTACATGAGAAACATGAATGTGAAGGTTTATTATGAATGACATAACATAAGCTATGACTTAAACTGTTATTTATTCTGTTTATTGAGGCTGATATAACAAACAGTGACAAGTCTGAGTTGTAGATATATGAACCATCTGCTGTTATTGTCTTGCAATTACTGCTCACTGCTATAATACACTGATGTAAATATGCGTAATGATAGGTTATATAAATGAGCATACATGTCAATTACTGTACTTACTTTACCAACATAAAGAGGATCTGAGCCTGTATATTCCTCCAGTACAAAGAACTGGTTCCAAACCCAGCTCCGCTTAGTTCTTGATCTCCCAGACTGAATGTAAGGCTTCGATGTAGACATTGAAAGCTCAGCTTGGCTTATTCCAGAAAGACAAAAGAAAAGAGCTATAAGCTGAAGATAGTGGCACATTTCTTTTCTGCCCATCTTCATTTTTCTCTCTTTAACAAACTGTGAACTGAACAGCTCCAAAATACTGTCTTAGAAAATCCAGTATTATTCCACACAGGATTTTTGTTGTTGTTGGAGGATTACTTAAAATAAATATCCAGCCACAAAGACTTTAATACCTAAAAGACAAGAAAGATATATTTGCTGATTACAATAAAACAATGCAATTTGCTTCTGCATTTTACAAAAAAAGAAAACAATAATATGTGTAATATGCAGTATTTTTGTTATGTGCTTGATCCACAGTTGATTGTTACTTGATATATTGCTGTTGCAGATATGTAGGGTGATTGGTAAGATGCTCAAGTTCTCTTATTAACCAAAGTAGGCTTTAAATATTTCAGAAAGATAGTATGAAAAGCATACAACAATTAAGTGTAACATTTACTAGACATATGCGATTAGTTTCGTTACAAATCGAAATTCGTACGAATTTTCCTGAAATTCGTAAATTCGGAAGGATCCGAAATCCGAATTGCAGTTTCCGAATTATATCTGAAATACGAAATTCCGTTAACGAATTTCGGATCCGAATTTCTTTGAAACAGAAACTAATATTACCCCTGTAAATGAGGTTGAACAACATGACAAGATTTTTTTTTTAATCCGAAATACGGATCCGCTGCTGCTGAGGGTTGCATTACAATACACAGGCAGGAAATACAAAATTCCGTTGACGTATTTTCGTTCCGTTACGAACATTCGTTATATTGAAGTTAAAAAGCAAAGTACATTTGTTAATGTATTGGAGTTGATGGTAGTTTTTTTTTCATCCGAAATTCGGATACGGAATCCGTTAACGGAATTAGTATTTCGTTTGGTTTAACCAATCAGAGGTTTTCTCTTCTGCTGACAGTTGCATTACAATACAGGCAGGAAATACAAAATTCTGTTGACGTATTTTCGTTCCGTTACAAACATTCATTATATTGAAGTTAAAAAGCAAAGTACATTTGTTAATATATTGGAGTTGATGGTAGTTTTTTTTTCATCTGAAATACGAAATTCGGATACGGAATCCGTTAACAGAATTTGTATTTCGTTTGGTTGACCAATCAGAGGTTTTCTCTTCTGCTGACAGTTGCATTACAATACAGGCAGGAAATATGAAATTCCGTTGATGTATTTTCGTTCCGTTACAAACATTCGTTATAGTGAAGTTAAAAAGCAAAGTACATTTATATTAGAGTTGATGGTAGTTTTTTTTAATACGAAAATACGAAATTCGGATCCGGAATCCGTTAACGGAATTCGGATTTCGGATAAAAAAACAACTACCACATCGACTCCAATATTAACAAAGGTATTTTTGCTTTTTAAATTCATCATAACGAATGTTCGTACAGTTACGAAAATGTGCCGAAACTAACGAAAATTCGTATTTCGTACGAATCCGAATTGAGTTTCGGATACGAATTAAATACGAAATAACGGATATTTCGAAATGGAACAAATTTTTTGACGGCGCACAAGTCTAACATTTACATAGTAAAAAAATCACTCTACAATATGTGTGTATCCTTTTCCCAAACAAAATCTGTATTTACTTGCATTTGTATCACATGCATGTAAGTATTCTACTAACACAATGTCCTTAGTTTACACACTGTTTTCCATTTTTATGTTACCTTGAACAAAGTAACACTTCAGGAATGCTATAAAACAATGAGCAAGTCCACCTAGCTGTATAATTACTTGGCACAGGTGAAATTCAACACTCTGGGGTAAAATTAGACATTTATAGCATGACAAAGGATATAATAAAGAATACATTAATGAGGAAATGTATTATTTTCCTCTATACAGTCTATATTGAAAGAATGAAGTTGATTTACTGTAGGAGAAGAGCATGTTCAATTTGCAAAGTGAATTTTCACCTTGCAAGGGAATTTTCCTTTACCTTGTATGTGTATGTGTATGTGATGGAAATTTACTTTTCAAATAATGCCAATCATATGCAAGTAAACTTTTTTTAAACTGTGTTTTTGCTTGGACATGTTTGGATGATGGGAGTCAGCAGAGCTTCACCTCATTTACTACACTAAAGTAAAATGTCTTTGCAAAGTGAAAATTGACTTTGCTTAGATAACAGTCTAGTTGCCTTTAGTAACTCAATCCCATGGATTCAACCAGAAGGTGAGATCTTAAATGATAAGAAAATATTATTTTATCTACAGTACATCAAAACTTGAAGTTAGAGGAATATACCATTACATGTATATACCTATAAAGTGAAGTTACTTAGAAATGTACAGATCCTTACAAAATAATATTTTAATGTTAAAATATATAGAAACTAAAGAATAGTTTAAAAAGGGACAGTATTTTCTTATATGGGGGTTCCATCCCTTTGTAGTATGTTGAAGAAAATATGGTTCCAATGACAATGTGACAGATATTTCAGTGATATAAAAGTAAGTGTAATGGTGGAGGAGTTCAAAGGCTGCTATATTTAAAGTGTATCTTGTTCAATGGTAGGTAGAAGCACACCCTAGTTTTTCCTTTTTAACTTGCCAGGCGGTCAGCTTTAATTTTTGATGTTATCAAATTACAAGGACCCAAATTCTGCAGTTGCGTTAAAGGAAGAAAGTACAAGAACTAAAAAAAAGAAGAGCTAACCCTTCCTTGGAGTGATGATGAAATTGTTGTTCTTCATCTGTGCCCTCAACATCTTATACCACCTTACAAAAAAAAGATTTATGAAATCTTTCAACTCCTCTGGGCACCTTGATCTTAATCAGCTTTTGTTAATAAAACTACCAATGCACCATTATTTTCTATAAATATCTGACGTTAGTCAAGTACATTTAGAGTTACAGAACCCTGTGTAGTAATTCAGCAGACAAGAGTACTTGACATGTAGATATCTACCTGACCCATTTCAGTCAAAACATCTGCTGCTGACTGAAATAGCTTGATTTTAATTTATTATTTTGTGAAAAGTCTTGTTTAACATCCCTTAATAACTTGTGACTATATTGATGCACCCAGCAGTGGCGTAACCAGAGTTCTGGGAGCCCGGGGCCCGCGCCCCTGCTGCACCCCCGGTTGTTACGCCACTGGCACCCAGTACATCAATAATAGTACAAGACCAGACCAACATATTCTGAATGAAATGGGTCAAATTGACATCTACACTAATATCATATATTCACATTTAAATTAATGCTGTCAGAGAAGTCAGTAGGTGAAGCAAGAATCATGCCAAAGGATTGCAGGTCAAAGAAAGCATCAGGCAAATAATGGATATTTGGAAAGGAGCTGAGAACTAGACTCTAATTATCCAATTTCCCTTTTTTCGGTCTTATCATTGAGTCAAATTTTGGATAAATTAGAAACACAAGTGTAATATTCAGATTGACAACCACTGACTGACACATCTGTTCTCTTGTGAAGACATCTGGAAAACATGCACTGCTGGACATTTTATTATCACTAAGTTTAGATTCCTATCACAGCATCCAACATAACCATGTAGGCAGTTTAGTAATTTAGCAACTGAAGCATTAGAAAATATTCCGGAGGGAACTTTCACTGCATGAGACAAACAAAGTTTATGATGTAAATACCTGTAATACGCTTTCTCAAAGTGCACTGCTTGCTAGAACTTTTTGCTTTCAATATAATCCTTTCCAAATTGAACTTCTCTCAGTGAACTTTCTAATAGACATAGCCCAGACTGGATTAATGATATTCAATAATGTATTTTCAACATTTTTAAAATTCAGTAATTATTAATTAACTTAAACTGCCTATATACATGTCCCACTTTCTGGCACAAGAAATAGAAAACTGACCTTTACTTACTTTACTGAATTGGTGAAGAATCATCATAAACAAGTCCTTTGAGAACACAGAAACCTGAAGTATAAGTAAGATGTTTGATAATGTCTTTTCAGCCATATTTGTTTTTAGCTAATGTAGTGGTCAGCAGATAAACATGGTACTTTTCCTGCACAGCTTTAGAGGAAAAAATAAAATAATAACAACTGTGAATATTCCTTTAAAGTTCTAAACCCTATCATGAATGATTGTAATTTTTTTAAATACTATTTCACCTTTTTGTTTAACCTTTTGTGCAACTCAGTGCTACTCTGCTCCAGCCTTTTTCAGCCACCTACTGTCTACATGCAATGCAGCAATAGCTGCACATCATGATGTCAGGCCAGCTTCCTGATAGTGACAATAATGGACAATGTCTGTTCAAAGTATTGCTTTCACCAATGTGAGATGGTGTCAATACATAAGCACAACTAGGAGAGACCTGTCACTTCATAACAGTAAGTACCTAAATAAGGACCTCATAGGCAGGATCACTAGGTCTTCTTCTTTAATTAAAACTTGTAAGAGAAAGATTGTAAATAACTTTTGAAATCACATTCACATATTATAACTCATATGACATTTTAATCATTAGGTTCAGAACTACTTTAAAGAAATAAAACAGGGAATGCTAGTTTGCAATTTTCTTTTTTTAGGGGATTAGAAGTTAGTTAAGTCAGGGAAAATACTGCACCTACATTTTAAATATCTTCAGCTGTAACAATATTAAAAAACTCATACATTTATCCATTAGTATTATTAAAAATCTTTGATCAAAAATCTCTTAGGAACATTATAATTAGCAGATATCTGACGCTTCATTGTACTAAGTAATATGCTTGTATTTGGTCATCTCTAAGAAGAAAAGAGTAAGAGGTCATTGTGTAGTTACATGACAAACAGCATTGATCAAGATGATCCGATACCCCAGGTGTATTTAGAAGTGGGACCCTAATAGCATGCCTCTATTCAGGTCAAATTTGAATGTCTGTATTCTTATGCAGTCTCAAGTAAGGTCAATAAATGTTACTGTAAAATATTTTGGAAAGCCAATGGGATATGTGTTGACATATCACAAGATTATATTATTCTTGACCCAATTTATAACATTATATCCAGAATTCACTGTATTTAGTTCTAAATGACTAACCCAGGAACACTGTTGGTTTCTGTAAATGATTGCCAAAAGGGAAGTGTATCAAAGGACATTGGCAGTATCAACACTTTAATTATATTACATTCAATTTTATTTTACTATCATATATTAGATTTTTTATTACAGCAATAAAATATGCCA